CTAAGGCTTGGATTTTAATTGCTGAAGTTTTAAACACTATTTTGTAATTATCTGGATTATGGTTTTGGTCGTTAATTACTGAACTGTTATTTATGTTCTATAATTTATATGGTTTTGAACTTTAATTGCTAAACTGTTATTGTGTTCAATAATTTAAATGGATGTTGTGGATTGTATGTATCAGTATGGGACGGTGGCATACTATGGATGGTTTAGCTCAAAATGCTAAGACCTACCCTATTGGATTAAAGGAAAGGATTGTAAAATTTGGAATCCTAATTTTGTTTAAGTCAGATCAACTGAGTAAGTTGAGTGACTACATAAATTAATGGTTATTTTGGGTTAAGTCAGATCGACTGAATAAGTTGAGTGACTAACCGGATTGATCTTATGCCAGTTCAATGAGTAATTGAATGACATACTCTGGTTTGGACGGACTTTAAATATATGATTATGGTACCACGATATGAGCTTGGTCTCAGAGTCGTTGGTTAGGACGCGTACATGCAGTGGATGCGTAACTGGCTTTGATAGGTTGAGGTGTACCCTGTTAGGTCTAGGTACTCATGCCCACCTTTGGGTGCGTTTTTGCATGCTGCCTTCTATTCAGGTTGAGACCCCCTCTATAGTCAAGTGAATGTCCCTTAGTGTGGATATTTATATATGTATGGACTAGATAGCTATTGTTGAGATATCTAGGGTGTATCTGCGTATCGGTTCACTGTATGGATTGCAGTTAGAATAGAACTTGTTCGTGGGCCTGACCCACTCTTAAATTTTTCAGGTATCGGACGGTTCCAGTCTTAAGGCTTGTACAGCTGCGCAGAGACGGTCATTCATTCTACTGACGATGTAGGATTTCATTCTATGTTTTAAATTTGGATTTTAAATTTCAGTTGTTTATGTATAGTTGGGATTTTGTTTAGGGGTCCACTAGATGGATTCCCGAGTTGTACTCTTGGAGGTTTTGGAGAGTTGGATTATTTTAATCTTTATTATTTGGAGGTTTTTATTTAGAAATTCTTTCAGCTTTAATATTTATTTCTTTAATTTATTTTGTAATCTGTGTTCGTTTAAATATTAATTGTTTGATATTCCCTCGGGTTTGGGCTTGGGCCTGATCAACCTGTGTCTCGGATCCGAGGGGTATCACAACAGGTCGTTTGGGGTTGTCTTCTATACAAAAGATGACAACTGCAATACGTATACTCGCATATGGTTGTGCTGCCGATCATTGTGACGAGTATATTAAAATCGGCGAGGGCACAACTATTGAAGCCCTGATGACATTTTGTAAGGCTGTTATTGGTGTGTATGGGGAAGAGTACATGCGCCCACCCAACGTAGCCGACATAGCACGACCACTTGAAGAAAGGGAGGAGGGAGGATTCTAGGGTATGCTTGGTTCTATCGACTGTATGCACTGGGAGTGGAAGAATTATCCGGTGGCGTGGCATGGCACGCACAAAGGACGCTATCATACGCCTATGCTCATATTGGAGGCGGTTGCTTTAAAAGATTTGTGGATCTGGTATGCATTATTTGGAATGCCTGGTTCACACAATGATATTAATGTGCTGGATCATTCTTCGGTATTCGACAGTATTGTTACTGATCAAATTCCTCTAGTTAATTTCGTTGTGAATGGCCATTACCATACAATGGGGTATTACCTATCTGATGGTATATACCCTAACTGGACAACTTTGATGCAGACTATCCCGCACCCAACAATAGCAAAAGAATAACTTTTTGCTCAAAGACAGGAGGCCTGTTGGAAAGATGTGGAACGGCTTTTTGGGGTCTTGCAGAGCAAGTGGGCAATAACACAAGGACCAGTGCGTTTTTAGGATAAAGGGGACTTGTGCCTTATAATGAAAACGTGCATCATCCTTCATAACATGATCATTGAAGATGAGCCCCATGCCAATGTTGGAAGATAGACTCCGCCACCGGAGGAGATAATCTCGATTCCCACTTTAATTCAAAATCGATCAGTCTTAGCGGCACATATATACTCTTGCCAAGTCTAAATTCGCAACAAAGAGACAAACACGCGGTTGAGGAAATATTTAATTGAAAATTTGTGGAACCGCTTTGGTGAAGCACGTGTTTAATTTATGTTTCATTATTTTATTTTTAAATTGTTATAAAGTTTATGTAATGCAATATTTATTGTGTAATGTTTTATTTTGAAATAAATAATTAAATTGTTTGTTGATTAAATTATTTAGCCAATATGTATGAAATCTTGATTAATATCATTTGATTTATTAATTTATAGTGAAAACAAAGACATATTTTTTTTAATAAAAAAATCATATTTGAACTAAACAATGAAAGGTTTCTAATATCATTTGACATAAACAATGAAAGGTTTTTTTAAAAAAAGAAAAAAATAAATATGTATATAATTATTTTTTTAAAAAATTCAAAAAATAGGTTTTTGTACCAATATAGTCGTTAAGACACTGTTTGGGTCAGTCAAACAGTGCCTAAAATGGTTATATGTCAATAGGAATATTTTAGAAAGCAAATTTTTTAAAAAAGAACACTTTTATCTATTTTTTTTAACTTTTTTGGTCCAAAAATGCCTTTAAGGCACTGTTTGTGTTAGCCAAACAGTGCCTTAACAGCTCTTTGGTTCAATTATTTTGAGGAAATTTTTTTTTAAAAAAAGACCAAAATCTGCCAAAAAAACTAATTTTTTCCTCTTTATTTATTTATTATTATTATTTTTCTAGCCAAACAGGCCTTACCAAACAGTGTCTAGCCCAGAACACTGTTTGGGCCAGAATTAAAAAAGAAAAAGAAAAATGATGCGGGCCCGCATGTCAGGCCCGTAATTCGCCAAACCAATTTTGGTTTTTGGCGACTTGGATCAAGATTGTCTTAATGGGGCCCACTTTTTGAAGAGTCCACTAGGGCAGCCCAGTCTTCAAAATTCACCCAAAATCACCGAATCACTCACCATTGGACCTGCTCTTAACATGACACCATATTAATGATTGAATTTGACTTTGATACCATTTATAACCATAAATATCTACTCATTTATTTAAAAATTTAAGTTATTAAATCATATTAAGAACCCACTCATTTATATACAATTGACCTAAGACTAAGTATCACTTAGTAACAAAGACTAAGACCGCATATCCCAATAATTCAATTCAAACTAGTAATAGTAGTAATTGTAATAATAATAATATGTGGACATTCACTCCCTCCCTAGTAACAACGATCCAACGCATGCCTTGAGTTATTAAGTCCATAATTAATTAATTAATTACTGCCAAGAGTTTTTAAGTCCATAATTAATAAAAGCCAACATAACAATTAATTATTTATATTAGCAGTCTAATTTTTATTGTATGTCCATATTTCCTTTTTTTAAAAATTTGGAAAACTAGTGGTTACATTTGAAAAATAGTATGTAATACAGTAATACTATATTTAAACTTAAGAGTGGGTAATTTTTAAAGGGAACATGCTTTCCGAACAAATATAATATATATATATATATATATATATATATATATATATATATATATTACTACATTTAAGAAAACTATTATTATAGAGATATTTGTCCCACGTCGAATTTGGATGGAAAGTGAAATGATATAAATTTACACTTGATTGCGAGTGGTAATATGTTTAATTTCAAAAACTCTCAATTTTTATGGTTATTTGTGAATTTGTGATAAGACCACATGTGAGTAAGTCATCCTTACTCACCGGTAAATAAGCAAGTTTTATCCTTATTTTAGTGGATCATCACTAATAAAGTTAAGTAAACAAAATAATAATTTCATTTATAATATTTTTTTATACATAAATATATTATTATATTATTTTTATTTTTGACATGTCGAACCTTGATCAATTTTTTTAAAAAAATTTGCTATATAATCTATAGTAGTAATTCTCCACTTATATGCTATTTATAAAAAAAAATAATAATAATAATAAATAAAGAAATAAATACTGAAAAAGCTCATTTTCTCTCTCTATAGTCTAAGCTAAACCAATCACAGGAAAGCATTCTCTCTCTCTCAATCACCATTATTCTTCTGCCTTTTACACTTTTACGCATGATCACAAAATCCAATAAAAGCATTCCCTCTCTCCCTATGAAAAATCTTTTGAGAGCAAGTGGTGTGGTGATTCAAGTTATCTATCTATTTTTTAAAAAGTAGTGTGGCACATAAGCTAAAAAATGATGATGTGGTATTCTATTTTTTTTTATCCATATGTTTCATGGTGTGGAACCCAATTATCTCATTCTCTATTTATTATTTTATTAATATATTTTAAAAATTAAAATAAAAATTTTGAATTTGAATTTAATAATTTTTTGTCTTCTTCCCAACACCTATATTCCCAACGGCTATATTTCAATTTCTATATAAACCACTCATTCTATCTTCTTTCAATTATGAAGTCCACTTCTTTACATTCTCAAGTCCATTATTTGTTCTTTCAATTTCTATATAAACCACTCATTCTATCCTTTTCAATTCTATCTTCTTTCAATTATCAAGTCCACTTCTTTACATTCTCAAACCCATTCTCTATTCTTTGAGTCTTCATATTTCTTATACAAAAAAATAATGGCTTCATTGTCACGAGATATACCTGTCTCTGAGTCTATTTCTCCATTGAATTTGTCAGATTTAGATGGGGAAGATATTTTTGAAATCCAACAAAAAAGGATGAATGATGTGAGCAAATTATTATCGCCTGATAGGGTGCGGGCATTCTTTCAAACTCGTAAGAGAAAGTATATTAAATGTGATCGAGAGGAGGCAGCACAACAGCTATTCCGAGATTACTTTGCTGAAAATCCGATTTATCCACCAAACATATTTCGTAGAAGGTTTCGGATGCGACGAGAGTTGTTTCTTCGCATTTTGAACAGTGTTACAACATATGACAAATGGTTCATCCAGAAACCCGATGCCCTCGGTCATATGGGGTTCACTCCTATATAGAAGATGACTGCTGCAATCCGTATACTCGCATATGGAATTTTAGCTGATCTTTGTGACGAGTATATAAAGATTTCTGAGTGCATTGCGATCGAAAGCTTGAAAAGGTTTTGTGATGCTATAATTGTTGTGTATGCGGAGCAGTACCAATGCTAACCAAATGCAGACGATATTGCACGTCTACTTCAAGAAAGGGAAGAGAGAGGTTTTCCAGGTATGCTTGGCTCTATAGATTGTATGCATTGGGAATGGAAGAACTGCCCCACAGTATGGCATGGCACTCACACGGGAAGAAGCCATAAACCTACCATCATATTAGAGGCCGTTGCATCGAAAAATCTGTGGATCTGGCATGCTTTCTTTAGTATAGTTGGTTCACACAATAACTTGAATGTTCTCGATCATTCCCTAGTATTCAAGAGCATGATCAATGGTTCAATGCCTCTAGTTAATTACGTGGTGAATGGGCATCGGCGTACAATGAGGTATTACCTATCTGATGGTATATATCCTAAGTCGGCAACTTTGATGCAGACCATGCCACACCCAACAACTGTCAAAGAGAAATTATTTGCTAACAAACAAAAAGCTGTAAGGAAGGATATAGAATGGGCGTTCGACGTGTTGCAGATGGGGTGGGCTATAACGCATCAACAGGTACTTTTTTGGAATACAGAAGATCTAAATAAGATATTGAGAACGTGCATCATATTACACAATATGATCATTGAAGACGAGGGTGAAAATATTTTGCAATGGACACCTCCGACAGATGACCCAATCTCCCTTCCACATTACGTTCGAAACACTTCAATGTTGGCGGCACACATTTCCTCTCGCCTAAGTAGGATTCGCAATAGATCAGACAATGCCGATCTTAGGAGAGATCTCATGGAACATTTGTGGAATCAATTTGGTGATGAAGATGCTTAAATTTGTTGTAGTGGAATAAAATGTAATTTTCATATTGCTGATGAATAAACAATATTTTAAAAATTATTTGTTTCGATTAGATTTGTTAAAGAAATTATGATTTAAAGAAATATCCATTACATATATAAATAAAAATTGCATTAGCTTCCCACAGATAGAAAAAGAAAATTACATTACATTAACTTCCCACAGATAGAAAAAGAAAATTACATTACATAGCTTCACAAACTACCCCTTTGATAGAAACGTGTATAAATTTCATTTTGTTGATCAATGATCTATGCTTTTATTGTTGCTGTTGGAGCATCATTTGGATTTTTAAGCATCATTTCTCTTTTGAAATCAAGTTGCTTCTGCTCAAATTCCAACTTTTTCATTTATTTTTGCGCCTCAATCTCTATTCTTTTTGTATGCTCTTGCTCCAAGCCTAAATCGAATGTAGCTTTCAATTTTATTTTTTGAGATTCGACTGCTAAGGCATTCATCAACTCACTTTGATGGGTAAAATCTTTAAATTGTTCTAGAAATAAGTTATGTTGTACCTCCTCTTTACTTTTTTTACAACCCTTCTTAGATGTTTTTCGTCTAGGAGGTCGTACAATGCCATGCGAACTTTCAACACTAATTGCAGGCTAATCGTCATCGCCAAGGTTTACTGAAGCTGGTATTGATACTGTAGGTGTTGACGGAGTAAATGGATTGGTTTAGATTGTTGACGAAGTAGGTTGAACAGTTTCTGGCCAATCCCTAGGCTCATTCATATCGATCTCCACTACTCTTTTGTTTTTCCCTTTGTCATTGCTGTTGGAATTGGAATTCTATTTTAACGAATTCTTTAAAATACACCAACAGTGGTCCAACTTAAATGGCTCATTTTCTAACGCTTTAAATAAATTTCTTGCTTCATTGAGCTATAAAAAATACAAAAATAAATGAAATTAGTTAGATTGCCAATTAAAAAAAAATTAAAAAATTTACAAAGTAAAGAACTTACTGCATCTTCAACGTTGAAGCCACTAGGAGTATGATGTTGGATCTGTTTGTAATATCCAGAAAATTTTCCCACAAATTTTTTTAAGTGTGAGAAACGATTTTGCAAACCTTGTACATTTCGGAACGTCGTGCCCCCTGGTTGCCGAATAAAATTTTCATGGACTCGTCCCCAATACGTGATTTGCTTCTGATCCGAACCCGTTATTGGATCTTCCCCAATGTCAACCCATGCTTTGCATAATGCTCCATCTTCTTCAATGGACCAATTTGTTTTCGAACGCCTAGAATTACGTTGGGTTTTAGATGGTTGGGATTGAGAAGGTTGGGATTGAGACCGGTATTGAGAAGGTTGGTATGAGAAATAAGAGTATTAGGGTTGAGATGGATTTTCGGATTGAAAAAAAATTGAAAAATCCAAATTATAATTGGATTGCAGTGGTAATTCGGAGTTGTGAGATTGGTTGAAATAGGGGCAATAAAATGGAGGTTGGGGATCTATAGAGATGAATGTTTTAAAAAAAATATTAAGAGAGAGAATTATTGAAGTTAAAAATTATTGAATATAGAATTAGTATTTATAAGCTAAATAATATAGCCATTTATTACTGTTTAAAAATAGTCGTTTATTACCCTATCCGGAGTTGTACAATTCAGCACAAAATAAGTGAATAAAGAAAGCCAAAAAATGAATGGCGGTACTCCAAACGATGCTCTATTTGCAAAGAAGGCAATAGATAATCTGATGTGGGGGCCACAAAAAGCACATTGATGGTAAGCTGCACACCGCCCCTCTTTCTACTTTTCACAGATATTCTCTACTTTGTCTACCGCCCCAGATGCTCTGAGTCCTATACAAGAAATCACATGCGTATGCAGAATTTTTACAATCTTATCTCTTGTGTACGTGTTTCAATAATTACATCCAGTGCCGCAAGTTTTAGTGGTAAATGTTGTAAAATACAAAAGTGTTAAAAAAAAGCCAATTGAAGTTTTATCGGCTGAGCACAATATCCTCTTGTGACATATAGTTTCAACAGTGAACAACTTTGTCCATTACATTTCACTTCTGGTCACTTTTCGTTCATATTATGATGCATATAATTGATATATTTTTTTATTAATCCCGAAAGCACCATCTAATATGACAAATATACACATCTTTTCTTTTTTTTTTGTTACAAGTGTAAAGATTCTGCATTGGAGTGATGATGAGAGAGAGAATGCTCTCTCTCAATTCTTCCCAGAGGCTTTTGCATTCATTTGTTCCAATCAAACCTAATTATACACTCTTCTTTCCATTTGTATATGTTCTCTATGTTTTACCTCTAAGGTCACTTTATTTAAACATTTAAATATATATATATATATATATATATATATCATTATTGTTGGACCATATATCTGTTCATGTGCATTCTTTTGAACCCTCAACAACATTGGATGGAAAGTGGACATTTGAGATATTTTGTCTTATATATATGATGATGCAGGATTTCGCGGCAACCCAAAGTGACGTCGTACCTGAAAAAGGAAGAGAAAGGTGAACGGATACCGGTGTGGTACAAGCCTAAGAGTCTCTGATGATCAAGTCAGTGCTAGATCAGAAGGGGAAGAAAGGTTAAGAGCTTTCTTAGGGATTTTGTGTCGCACCTTTTATGTGAACCCGAAAGCCCTCTTTATAGGGGTGTCACGTTGTATTGAAGGAGGAGTAGTATTTCTCATACTTTTCCAACACGGAAGGGAGAACATATTCTTATCCTTATCCAAGATAGTGGAGTTTATCTTGATTTACAGCTTTGTGTGACGGTTAAACTTCCTGGCTGAAGACTTCTCATCAATTGCCCCCCATTCTCGGGTTTGTATGTCGAACGTAGAGAATGTAAAGATTTATTCCTTAACTTATTCTTCATCATGCCATATATATATTACATATATATTATTATATATATATTTTTTATTTTTGTCCAACAAGTAAAGATAACACATATATACTTTACTTGCTGGAGAAATGCACATGGGCTCATGTAGCCCACATGGTTAAAACCCTCTAGCTTGTTGCCAGGGATCATGGGTTCAAAACTTTCCTCAAGCGCCAAAATACTCTTTTTAATTAAAGGTAGCTTATGTGGAAGGAGGCCGCTACATGCAGCTGGAGAGGAGGAGAGAGGCTGCCACATGATAGGCTGTACAGGAAGCTGCCACGTGGCAAGTGGCTGTACAGGAGGCTGCCACGTGGCAGACGGCTGTAGAATGTAGAAGAGGCTGTAGAGGAGGCTGCCACGTGGCAGGCGACTGTAGAATGTAGCCTCTAAGAAAGGTGTATGGCTGCCACGTAGCGTCGGAGGCTACTACGTGGCACATCTTGTAACATGGTGTCTGCCGTGGCACCAACGCTTAAAAAAGTGCACTAAGGTGAAGGGCCAAATTTTACATTTATAATTGCCACTACTACCTTTCACTAAAAATATAGTTAGGGCGAGTAGGGATCATCCCAAGGGATTGGAGGGTCGTATAAGGTTATGGAATCGAGATTAGGGTTAGTAGTTCAAGTGATCAAAAGATTGGTAGGTGATTGAATTATACTAAGATGCAATTTAAATTAAAGTAAACAATTAAATGTAATAGAGAGAGAATAAGAGAGAGAGAGAGATCTTGGGGTTTAGAGATCACCATCCCCCCAAGCCTGTCTTCCATGGCTTCGTATTTTGTCGAAAAATGGTTTACAGCGATCTGACAACTTAGAAATGAACCGGCTTAATACAGCTATCCGACCTGTTAAGGCCTGTACTTCTTTGACTGTCTTTGGTTCGGCATTCTTGGTCAGAGCTTCTGCTTGTGATGGGCTAGCTTTTATTCCTCTATGATTAACCACATGCCCCAGGAATTGACCAAAGCTCACACCAAATGAGCATTTGGTTGGATTAAGCTTCATACCGTATTTCCTTAATACATTAAACACGTCTTGCAGATGCTTAAGATGGTCAACTTTCCTCCTACTTTTCACGACCATGTCGTCAATGTAGGCTTCTATAGTCTTCCCCATCTGACCCTTGAAAATCTTGCTGATCAGCCTCTGATAAGTCACCCCGACATTCTTTAGTTCGAACGGCATAACTTTGTAGCAGAAGGTCCCTCATTCGATAATGAAATAAGTTTTTTCTTCATTAGCAGGTCCATGGGGATTTGATTGTAGCCTAAATAAGCATCCAGGAAAGTTAAACGTTCATACCCAGTAGTGGCGTCCACCATTTGATCAATCTTTGGCAACAGGAAGCTGTCTTTTGGACAAGCTATGTTCAAATTGGTTAAATCAATACACATTCGCCATTTGCCATTTTTCTTTTGCACAACGACAACAGTTGAGAGCCAGTCTGGGTATTGCACTTCTCTAATGAACCTTGCCTCAAGCAACCTATCAACCTCCTCGGCTATGATCTAGTTGCGTTCTGGAGCGAACCTTCTCTGTTTCTGCCTTACAGGTTTTACGTTCGGATTAACGTTAAGGGAATGATAGGATACAGAGGGGCTGATTCCAGGCATGTCTAGGTGGCTCCATGCAAACACATCAGCGTTCTGAGACAAGAAATCGATTAACTCTTGTTTCTCCCCCTCGGCAAGTCTTACTCCCACTCTGGTTGTTCGCTCTGGCCTGCCATGGTCGATCTGCACCTCAACAAGAGGCTCTTTGGTCAACTCCACAGGCTCCTCCTCCCCATTCTATTTGGGTGGAGGCTCCTGTAATTGCTATCTCAGGTTTGCCGAGCGGATGGGTGCCTTTCCTTTGCCAGCTGATTTCATCGTCACAGAATAACATTCCTTAGCTGCAACTTGGTCCCCATGAATGTCAATCACCTTGGTTCCGTCTGGCCCGAGGCATCTCATTACTTAGTGCAAAGTTGAAGGAACGCCTTAAACTCTGTGAATCCACCCTCTACCCATCAAGAGGTTGTACGACGGATGGATTTCGACCACAACAAAGCTCTCTGTCAGAATTCTTTCTGCAGCAT